CCGTCCCCGTCAAGAAGTTTCAAAAATTTCTCGTCCCCGTCCCCGCCCCCGACAGAGACGGAGACAGAAAACATTGCCATCCCTACATACTCAATATGACGAACAACATGATCTAACTTGAGACACTAGAAGACATGCCAATACAACCTTTTACTAATATATTTCACACTTTTTGAAAAAAAAAAAAAAGTATATGATTATACTAGTCCAAACACATACTTTTCCAGTGTAAGATATACATTTTTCAAAATTTATTCAGATGACATTTAATAATTAAGAAAGTTTAAACGTTTTTGAAATTTAAAATCTGAAAAAATTATTTCCTGATTAAGTCTTTGACTTGGGTAAGTTCGAGTCAATTAAAAATTAAATTCTTTAAAATCAAGGAAAATAAATTTGGCCAATTTGTTTTCAAGGTGATTAAAAAAGTATAAAACATACTTTCTTTTAAATATATCATATTCCCTTCCAAAAAAAAAAAAAAAAATAATAATATATCATATTTGTTTCTTGTGTTAAAGAGAAATAACACTGAACCATTAAAGAGAATATCTCAATTGACCACGAAATATCGCAACCCACCAAAAAGAGTCTATATGCTTCTATTTTTTAAAAAAAAAAATTGGTAAACTTTCTTTTGTATGTATTTTGTTGCCGAATGCATTCTACTGATTGCATTATGCATATATAATAAATATTTTATATTGTATGTACATACCGTACAAAAGAATGGGTTATTCTAAGAGTTTTATTGTTTGTTTCATCATTTTGTCTTATTGGTCTGAGTTAATATTTAATGTTTATATGTGATAAGTGTATATTGGAGATTTACAAATTTTACTAAGAAAGTTTAAGTGAATCAAATATCTGAAATTACTTGCATGGTAATTTAATTGTTATGATTCTATGGTAATACCAATTATGTTAATTAATTTTTTTAACAAAATTAATTGATGAGAAAATAACAGACTGTCGAGTCTCACAGTGATAAAATAAGAGAGAATATATAGAATTATAAGGCCATGATCTATGTGTTAGATTAGCTAATTGGTTGGACTCAATTTTTTAGTGTGGTTTGATTCGCTAATTTCAAATATATTTTTTCCAAGTTCATTGTACGCTTTACAAATTTATTTATTATTCACTCATTAACCATTTTGAGTGTATAAAAATATAAAATTTATCTTCACATTTAGGAGATACCAAACTTATTTTGACTTGATTCGAATTATTTGTAGATCAATTCAAAATAATTCCTCAAAATCATGTATTACATTCCAATCTTTTAGCAATATTTTTGTAAATATTAAAATAAAACTATAATACAATTTTTGAAAATAACATTGTCAAAATTTTATATATAACTCTTTGCGTCCAATTTTATGTGTATGATTCGATTAATAAGGTTTGATTGAAGTTATTTACAAATCAATTTATTGTATATTTAATTTAGTATTAATATATAAAATTTATATATTTAGAAACTACATCAAAAGTACTATTAAATACAAAAAAAAAAAAATCAAATTTACAATTTATAGAGTATAAGACAATGTTAAAGAAAATAAATAAAGAAAGAAGAATTAGATTGACTAGTGAATAGTAAATAAGTCAAATAAAATAAGACCGAGGGGCTAATGACCTTGTGGTCTAGTGACACGAAGTGGCTATCCGATTCCAAATGGGAGGTCATGGATGGGTTCGATCCCAGTGAGGCGGTATTGACTCTTTGTGCTTCAGTAGGTTGAGTTTGGGAAAGTAGTTATGAACATATACAACATTGTAACAGAGTCAATAGTACTCAAAAAAGTAGGTGAAAAATAGAAAGTGGAATCAAATGGTAACATTACTTTTTTACTATTTAACCACATATGATAAATTCGACTAAAAACGTATTGACAAGAATTGAAACCGTGAACTTCAGGATTTTCATTTTGGAAAAAATAGTAAAAATTGACATTGAAAGTAGCTATTTTGTGGTACAAATATATGTGGGTGCACTTTCGATTTGGATCGGTTTAAAGTGGATTCGGGTTCTTCACAATGAGACAAAGATATTGCTATATTGTACGCTCAAAACGGATAATGAGTGAATAAGAAATTGATTTTCAAAGTAAACTCATTTGAGTTGGAAAATGAAGGTGGAAACACTAGTACAAAAACAGTCATTTGCGTCCAAAGTTGAGGCTCATTCACGTCCAAAGTAGATGGGACGCAGTTGGCGGGGACGCTGATTGTATATACAATCAGCGTCCGAAGCTACTTTGGACGCGAAAAACGATTAATTGCGTCCGAAGTTGAAGAACTTCGGACGCGATTAATCTCATTACATTGACTTTGCGCGTCCAAAGTTGGTCCACTTCGGACGCGCAAAGTCTGTAAATCGCGTCCAAAGTTCTTCGACTTTGGACGCGATTAATCATCTTCTTGTGATTAAAATGATTATTCGCGTCCAAAGTTGAAGAACTTTGGACGCGAATTGTAGTATTTTTATTTTATTTTATAATAATTTGTTAATAATTCCAGTTTTTTTCTGTACAGAAAATATTATGTTTATCCACAACATGCACTCACAACCACTACATACCACTTCAACGCTTTCAACTAATAAAGTTCAATACATCATTACGCCAACACTTTAGCCCTACTAAATTAAACTCCAATACATTCAATTCACAACACTTCAAAGTTTTCAATACATAATTGCCAACACTTCAAAGTTTTCAACACATTTAAACTACACTACTTCAACACTTATGCAATAAGCTAAACTAGATAAGTACCAACAATTCATAGTTCAAAAATTTATATGCATTCTTCGGTAAAATATTTAGACCAAATCTCACGAACCTCATCAATTTGCGCTTCTGAATAAGGCTTTCTATTAAAGAATAATTCCTACAAAAATTTAAAATAATCAAGTAATTAGTTTAACCATTACTAAAGTGTAATTTTTTTTTTTTTTTTTTTTTTGACAATCTAAAGTGTAATTTAAAACTATTTACTTTTAATAAATTTTACATACCATATCTAAATCATCAGAATCCCAACATTGAGTGCATATTTCATACATGAATCTCATCACATGATACCCGCACTCCACACCACCCGGTTGTTGAGGACACTAGAAAATATGTATATATATTAATATGTTAAACAATAAAAATATTAATATGAAATATGAAAGATATATATACCTCAATGTGAACCCAATCAACGTTGTTTTTAGGTCTTCTCCCTCCTAAAGTTTCAACCGATCGAAATGCCCTATAATATACAATCATAAATAATTTATAAACAATAGTGGTTAATAATTCTCAAAATATAATATATATATATATATATATATATATATATATATATATATATATATATATATATATATATATATATATATATATATATATATATATATATATATCTGTGTGTACTTACACATTCAATGTGGCCTTAATCGCAAACTCGCGATCACTTAATGCAATGGAGTCTAATACATAGACTTTTCTTAATCGAACAGAAATAACTAGAAGCATCCAATGATTCCTAAGGCATTTAAATAAATATGTTAAGTGCTATTCACAAATAATGCAATTAAGTTAAATAAATAATTAAAAATATAAATTTAGTTTTCTTACTTTTCATGGTATGGAGCTAAAATGAAGTGTCGATTCGTCTGTTCAACCATGGCATTCACAAGATATTTTGTGACCTTATCAATATCTGCAAGTACAGAGGCAGCACAAATAGTCCTTGGGCAGAGGAATCCAATTGTATGAACTCCAATTTTGGAGCACATCTGACTAAGACATCTACAACATATATATATAGATAATTAATAAAAATGAACGACTAAAGACAAGTTTTTAAATATAAAAACATTATAAAAAATACTTACATTATGAATATTTGTAATATGGTCACATCAAGCCATCGCATCTTCAACAAGTCTTTAATATCTTGAAACAGCACGTGAATGAAATCCACATCTTGATGATGGAAGATTGCCTCATCTAGATCCACGTTAATGTAATCTAAATCGAAAGGTATGTTCTTAATAAGTCTTATCATTCTCTTAGATTCATCTCCCAATTGCTGCAGTGTATCATCATCAACAAGAAGTGGTCGTAATTGGACAGCAGATTGATCACCACTTTCAAAATTCATCATTCGGGTTTGTTTTGGATTTTCCTATGAATCAAAAGTAAAAGACATAATAACAATTAGATCGAATATCAAATATTCAAAATATTAAAGATATTCAATATTACCTTAAGTTTGTTGACTTGATCAATAGAATGACAACTGCTCTGAGTTGGTGTGCCAACTTTTGGACTTGCTTGTGCATTCTTCATCAAATATTCCAGTTGGGATTGCATCAAATCAAACTTGGGCTGCATATCTTCCATTGTTTCTTTTCTAATCTTTTCAGCCACTTTGTCATATATTCTCTTCTCTATGATCTTCTCCATATCACTAACTGAAACAAGCCCAGCTGAATTTCCACGACTTATGCTCTCCGGTTTACCAAACACATCCCGAATATTGGAGTACACTCCAACACCTCTCACATAGCCACCGTGCTCATTGGTGCCAAGAGCTGTTGTCAATACATCATTTTGCCTTTTGGGTTGGAATGAGCCTTGACTTATCTCTTCACACTTCTCAACCTATATTTCAACAAAAAAAAAAAGATTTAAAATTTACATGTTAGCTAGTAATCTCATCAATAATATATATATTTAAAGTATTTGTATTACTTACAATTTTATCCAAACACTCCCTTCGTTTTTTCATTGGGAATGTAATAACTTCCATCTTCAGATTTTTTAGATCGCGCTCGAACCCAATCCAAACTACGATCAGTAGATGATATGGTCGAGGTAATAGCCGCACAAGAAGATTGTGAAGACAATGGGTCGCACATCAACCACTCATACTGCTTTCCAACATAGCCCGTAGACCCTAAATAGTGAGGATGCACATTTCGCGCTTGCAACTCCCTATACTTTTGACTGTTGGCCTAAAAATAAAAGTTATTATTTAATAATATGTTAACAATAACCATGTTACATGATTATTAAGGATGTAAAGTATGTAATGTACCTTGGCAGCTTCACTTTCATGCGTGGTTACAAATTGCTCCCATTTTTTTTCATCCATGAACTTATATAACTCACAGGGAGAGCTATATTTTTCATTCGGTTTGTTGATGAAGTCACGCACCAATCTTGTTTTGAAATCTTTCGAACGTATCCGTGCATGGACCAAAATATGACTTCTTCTTGACTCAGGGAGATTAAACTCTTTCTGAAAAACAACAATAAAATAAGAAATAATTAGGCCTTTATTGACATTAACATATATAAACTAATGAACTCAAAACTAAAATGAAATAATGATCAATATATAAATTAAATTATTGACTATTACCTTAAGTTCATCCCAGACTGCATCTTTAACCGCAGTTGGAACAAGACGCCAGTGTGGAATGTTTATGTCTATGTGAGTACGAACCATAAGGCCAAGGTAATTTGAGTACTTCCTTGCATTTGGCCCAAAAGGCCTATTCTTCTCATCAAACTCAATTACCTTAGACTCATCCTCTGGTCTCTTCTTTAAGATTTTACTACAAGTTGTAGCTCCTCTTGCTTTACGCACTTTGTTCTCTGTTCCCTTTGAAGATTCCTCCACCAACGGATCTGTGTGATCGTCAGCCATGTATATATATACCTGCACATGCATAAGATAAATATGTTATAAAGAACATCTTATAAAATATAACCATGTTATTTGAATAATAATAAGATTACATTATAGAAATTATACTGTCGGGTGGTCAATCCACAACCCTTCTTCATGATCAGTGCGCATGTAATTAGTATCAATGTTATCTTCACATAAAGTCACATGTTGAATACCAATAGAAAATGGTGGGGTTTCATCAAATTGGTCATATTCCTCTTCATCAACAACATCACCAACACCAACAATACTTCTTTTGCCTTGTAAGACAATTGACCACTTACTATCAATAGGATTAGAAACATAGAAGACTTGTTTAGCTTGAGATGCAAGTATAAACGGTTCATCATGATATCCAAGCCGACCAAAATCAACTAAGGTAAAACCCAAATCATCTACACGGACACCCCGCCTGTTATCAACCCAAGAACATCGGAATAGAGGAATCCTAAACACCTTATAATCAAGTTCCCAGATTTCATCAATGACTCCATAGTATGACATAGTAGCATCTACCGGGTTAGTATCTTTAGCACTAGAATACTCTATTGATTGTGCTACTAATGTCACTCCACTATTTTGCACTACACTTTTTTGATCTTGACATTTTGTGTAAAACATATACCCATTAATATCATATCCCTCATAAGTGCTCACAACAAATCTAGGGCCAAACGATAACCATCTAATGGTTTCAGTGATATTATTTGGCACTTGAGATAACTCTTGCATCACTGTATCTTTGAACCATGTGATAAATGTAGAATTGTGTTCTTTTGTCACCCACATTTCACCTTTAGAAGGATTTTGTTGCCTTATAATAGACAAGTGTTGTTCCAAATATGGATGAACCTCAGAAAGCTGCTGCAGTACGAGATGATGTGCTTGATTTCTGATTATTTGACTTGGGACATGTGTTTTAAATCCAATGGTACCTTTTCCTGTGAGTCTTCCCTCATGACGTGATTTAGAAACACCAATGGACTGAACATTAGCCAAATAATCAGTACAGAACTCAATCACTTCTTCAGCACCATAAGCTTCAATTATACTCCCCTCTGGCCGATATCAATTTCTCACATATCCTTTCAAAATTCCCATGTATCTCTCAAATGGATACATATACCTCAAGAATACAGGACCACACATTTTAATTTCCCACACCAAGTGAACTGTTAAATGCACCATAACATCCAAAAATGATGGAGGGAAATACATTTCAAACTGGCATAAAGTTACTACCACATCAGCTTGCAAAGAATCCAACACCTCAGGATCAACAACTTTACTACTAATGACATTGAAAAAGTAGCAAAGCTTTGTAATTGCTTGTCTAACATGGTTAGGTAATATGCCTCTAATAGCAATAGGTAACATATGTTGCATTAGCACACGACAATCATGTGATTTCATACCAACCAATTTAAGGTCCTTCATTGAAACAAGCTTTTTAATGTTAGATGAATAGCCAGAAGGAACCTTGACACCATTTAGACAGCTACAAAAACTTGTTTTTTCCTTTTTAGACAGAGTATAACAAGCTGGAGGTAAGTATGCCCTCTTTCCAGATTCTTGTGCTGCTAATTGAGTCCTTATCCCCAAGTCTACCATATCTTTTCTAGCTTTAATACCATCTTTCGTCTTACCTTGAATATTCAACAATGTCCCGATAATGCTATCACAAATATTTTTCTCCACATGCATTACATCAAGACAATGTCGAACAGATAAGTGCTCCCAATATGGTAAATCCCACAATATAGACCTCTTTTTCCAAATACCCTTTTGACTTGTTTTTGAAGTTTTTCCCCACACATTATCAATGTTTTTCACTCGATCATAAACAACATCCCCTGATAATGGTAAGCGAGCAACTCCAGTCTCAGATTTTCCATTGAAAGCTTTTTTCCTCTTTCGATAAGGATGGTCAATAGGTAAAAAGGTTCGATGACTCATGAACACATTTTTCCTACTGTTGTTCAACCAAAGATCAACTGTTTCATCTTCACAAACAGGGCATGCCTTAGCCCCTTTAGTAGTATACCCTGACAAGTTACCATATGCTGGGAAGTCATTGATTGTGCAGAACAGCATGGCTCGTAAAGTGAAGTTGGTTTGACTATGAGCATCAAATACTGTCACACCTACACTCCACAACATCTTTAAATCTTCAATAAGCGGTGCTAAGTACACATCTATGTCGTTTCCTGGTTGTTTAGGACCAGATATTAGCAATGATAACATGATGTACTTGCGCTTCATACACAACCACGGAGGAAGATTGTAAACTGTTAAGAGAACTGGCCAAGTGCTATGGCGACTGCTCATGTTACCATGAGGGTTCATTCCATCCGTGCATAGTCCAAGCCTAAGATTTCGATTTTCAGCACCGAAATCAGGAAACTTCTTATTAATGTTCTTCCACTGAGGAAAATCGGCAGGATGTCTCAACTTTCCATCTTCTTTTCTCCCACTAGCATGCCATTGCAAATTCTTCGCATCCTTTGCATTTGCAAACAAACGTTTGAATCTTGGAATCACCGGTAGATACCACAACAACTTCGCTGGAGGACCTTTCTTCTGCTCACATGCATCATCGAGCCCTTTTCGTTTATAACGCGATGCTCCACACTTTGGACACACATGCAAGTCTTTGTTTTGATTCCAATACAAAATACAGTCGTTTGGACATACATGGATCCTTTCAATCTCCATACTCAACGGACATAACATTTTCTTTGCCTCATAAGTTGAACTAGGAAGTTCATTCTCATTTGGAAGCATGCCCTTTAAAGGCTCTAATAACTCCGTGAAACTCTTATCACTCCACCTATGTTTTGCTTTTACGGTATACAATTTAAGCACTGCTGATAACTTTGTAAATTTACTACATCCAGAAAACAAAGGTTTTCCAGAACTCTCAAAAAAACTTTCAAACTCTTGAGGCATTTGATTCAAATCCCCTTGCATATCCCGCATCAATTCATCTAGCCGATCATTGTCTCCATCATTTCTAACATTATCTTCATTACTTTGATCTTTCTCTTGATTTTTTCTACATTCTCTTTGATTTGTACTGTTACTAGTAAGGACAGTTTCACCATGCCATATCCACCGGTCATATCCTATCTTAAAACCACGACGTATCAAATGTTCCTTAATTTGTTCAGAACTACGAAACTTTTTTAGATTTCTACAATCATAACAAGGACACACTATATAATTTTCACCAATTTTACTTGCATATTCCTCGGCAATTTTAACAAACTCTTGAACCCCATGAACATATTCAAGTGTATTGCGTTTTTTATACATCCAACTCCGATCCATATCTCCTATATATTGTCACACAACATTTAAGAAATGATAAATGAGTTAGTTTCTTAAGTTATAACTTAAAGGTTCAAATTAAAGCTTTAACTAAATTTATCAACAATACCTAACATATACAATAATACACAACGAATTTGTCAACAATGTCTAACTTATACAATAATACACAACAAATTTGTATATACAATAAACAAAAAATACAATAATTAATGATTTACGAATACATCAAATGCAATGTAGGTAATTTTCTTCCACCAATGCTACAATAACCTTTGATCCACAACTACTAAAATAACTTTTAATATTTTAACCAAGTAACAACATTATCCAAATTAAAACATTTATAAAATTATACGGTAAAGGTGCAATCTCTATAAACAAATAATACAAATAACACAACAAATTTGTATATACAACAATAACAAATAATACACAATAAACAACAATAACAAATAATACACAATAAACAACAATAACAAATATACAATAATACACAATAAACAACAATAACAAATAGCAAAAAAAAAATTAAAATAATTAATGATTTTCGAAAAAAAAAAAAAAAAAAATTAACAAACTCACCGTACCTCGATCTGTCGGCGTTCGTAGCAGCGACGGTGGTGGCGGGGAATGTAGCAGCGGCGACCGGCGTCCGGCGTTCGTAGCAGCGGCGGTGGTGGCGTGCGATGTAGCAGCGGCGACCGGCGGTGGTTGGCGTGGTAGCAGCAGCGGAGACCGGCGGTGCTTGGTGTGCGAGCAACAGCGACGACCGGCGGACGATGAACGGCGGGTGTGAGCAGCACCGGTGAGCGAATTGAAGGACGGAGACCGGACGGAGGACGGAGACCGGACGGAGGACGGAGAGCGGACGGAGGAAGGAGACGGAGAGGTCTGATTTGGGGGGTTAGGGCGGAGAGCGGGCTGAACTGGATTTGGGGGTAGATTAGAAAATTAATTCGCGTCCAAAGTTGCCAATTTTGGACGCGAATTATATCCGCATTAAGTCATTCGCGTCCAAAGTTGGCAACTTTGGACGCGAACTTTGGTCTCATTAAATTATTCGCGTCCAAAGTTCGAAACTTTGGACGCGATTTATTTAAAAACAAAAAAAAAAATATAGTGGCAATTTAATTACAAAATTGCCACCGCACTACACATTCGGCGTCCAAAGTTGTAACTTTGGACGCGATTTATACGATCTTATTGATATTTTTTGTACTAGTGAAAGGCTTTAAAGTATCTTTTGTCCCACATTGAAAAAACAAATGGATTTGCACCATTATATATACAAAGAACCTTTTAAAGGTATATTAAATTATAGGAAAAGGGGTCAATCACACCCCTAAACTTTAGGTTAGAAGTTAGAGTCATTTAAAAAATAAATAAATAAAATGATTGCAGTATGGCTGCCATCTTCTGTATTTTTTAATTTTTTTGAAAAAAAATAGTTCCCCCTTCTTCTTCTCCGCCAGAGACGAAGAAGGAGGCATTTTTATTAAAAAAAAAAAAAAAAAAAGTCCTCCCTTCTTCATTTTCGGCGGAGACGAAGAAGGAGGTAAGAAGAGGATGGCAGCCATGGCATATGGGATAGCTTACAGTGGTGGACATGTTCATGAGGTTGTACTGGATATAAATCATGTGAAGGTGAGCGTAAATGAAGTTAGTGATCCAAGTGCACATGTACCAATCTCCACCAGTGAGGTTCAGCTTGTAGGTGATGCAATTCAACACTTTATTGCTTGGCCAAAGAAGCTGGTAGAGTTATGTATTGAAGCTGATGCGGTATGTACACTGAAAATATTTCTATTTTAAAATAGTAAGTACTTTACTTTTTAAAATAACAATTCTTACTTGTATTATAATTCACAGTCAAAAGAAAAGACCAAATTGACTTTTCAATCGGGTGTGCAATCCGTACATCAACAATTCACTATAGCTGATCCAGATTCTTTGACTGATGGATGCAAAAAGGCCTTTTCAATAGCTTGCCGTTTTGAACACCATCTTGTGGTCCATGTGGCTCGTGGTATTATGGGCAACATTGACTATAACTTATACCTTACAAGTGATGAGATAATGCGTTTCTTAAAAATGGAGACCATCGATGTTTCTCTAGTTCAGTTCTTTATGAGGTAATAAGTTCTTTAGTATTATTTATTCATAATAGTTTTATATTTATATAGTCGGTAATCTATATATAATTGGTTGTGTTTGTGAATAGGGGTATTTACATTAGTTTTGAGCTGGCATCAAAAAATACGTATGGCTTCCTAGATCCCTATTGGATTCAACCACAAATGAATAATATGGAGGACAGAAAATCGTATATAAATGCCACCATGCAGTCTGGGAAGAAATTTGTATACTTAGCCCCATATGTTCTCAAGTAAGTATTAATTACGTTTTAAGTAAAAATACTTATATATAATATAGTTTTATTATATATTATATTCACTTAAAACTAATAAATATTTATTTGTAGTGAACATTGGATGTTGATGGCGATTTGTCCTGGACTAAATGAAATTTTTTGATTTGATTCACTTGGTCATGGGTCGCGTGAAGACATTAAACATATAATGGAAACGTATGTAAATTTATATAATTAATTAACAATTATCATTAAACTAGTGATGCTAAGTATTTATATATATTTTATGTCTTATATTAATAGGTGTATGACTGCAACAAACATGATGAGTGGAAAGAAACAAAATCGTTTACCAAAATGGACTATATGTTCGGTAAGTACTTCATTCACTTTGTAAAACATGCAAACTTATTTTTTTTTATTAATTTATTTTAATTTTATTGTAATTCAAATTTAGTGTGCTATACAAAAAGGAACCACCGAATGTGGTTATTATGTGATGAAGTTCATGTTGGAAATTGTTTCCAACAACCTAAGCAAAGGAATGGATAAGGCAAGTAATTTCATAATATATCTTTTTTCTTCAAATTTTTAAAAATACTTGCTTATATATTATTTTTTATTTCTTTTAATTTGAACTTTGTATGCTTTGGAAAGACAAGGAAGATTGCCCTACAACAAACAAGAGATTGATGAAGTTCGAGACAAATGGTCTAAGTTTCTTATTGATGAATGGGTTAATAAAACGCTTCTTAGTAGATACTTTACGTTTAAAATTAGTTTATGTTTATTGGCTTGATGTTTAGTAGTTTGGTCTAAGTTTATATTAGTTTTATGTTTAGTAGCTTGAATTAGCTTAATCAATTGTGTTCTTTATATTAGTTTTATGTTTAATAATTTGAATTAGTTTAATGAATTAGTTGATATTGAATGTTAAATTGCTAGCTGTGCAGGATCAGAAAATTGATACAGGTTGGGGTAGAAACCATAAAACAAAAAAAAAAAAATAATAATAACATACGACGTCGGGTTTTAGGGTAAAGTCGGTGTCGTATAGTTTTTAAAAAATTTATAAATTAACATACGACGTCGGTTTTTACCTACAAGCCGACGTCGTATGTTAATTATTTTAAAAAAATAATAAATACTATACGACGTCGGCTTTTAGGTAAAAGCCGATGTCGTATGTTAATTATTTTTTTAAAAAATAAATAAATAATATACGACGTCGGCTTTACCCTAAAAGCCGACGTCGTATGTTAATTATTTTTTTAAAAAAATAAATAAATACTATACGACGTCGGCTTTACCCTAAAAGCCGACGTCGTATGTTAATTAATTTAATTTAAAAAAACATACGACATCGTTATTTTAACCGACGTCGTATCATTTACTTACTATGTCTCTAAAGTCGACGTCGAAAGATAATCGACGTTAAATGGGGTATTTTAACCGACGTTAAAACCGTTTTTTATAGTAGTGTACACACTGTGTGCATGTAAGTGTGTTAATGTGTGCACGAGCTAATTCCTGAAATTATTGGCAGTGCGCCCTCTGTGTATTTAAGTATGTTAATGTGTGCACGAGCTCAAGTTTGTGTTTTAAGGGTGTTTGTATTTTAAGGGGGTTTGTATTTGAATGCAACCCTATATATATATATATATATATAGATTTTGGATCTGATGCACCCCCCATATTTAGGTGTGTTTGTGAGTTACAATCTGGGCCCTTTGTTATATTTTTTAAACGGTGATGATGAGATGAATTTTGTTACACGTGTGTTCTCTTGTGTGGTAAGCTGAGGGGTATTATTGTATTTTTATAATGGTCTATTAATGTCAATTGCTTGATTCGTGGGGATGTGTGATAGTGGGTATTAATTGTAGGATTTGTCTGATTCAAGAACAGGGCGCCGTCGTTTCAGTGTAAAGCTTCAACCAGAAGCTTCTTCTTCGTTCCCGCACGGTTCTTCAGGCGAGGCCGGGGTTTGTTGCTTGGGCGGACGTTGGCGATGGCAGGGACGCGTTCGAGGAGTGCGAAGCGGCGTAGGGGTGGTGCACCCGTTCCTATTCAAGGTATTTTTGCTTTCATACTTGTGTTTTCCCGGTGTATTTGAGTGTTGGTGTGTAGTGTATGGTTTATATTTTGTGGGGGTTGGCTATGGAGTACAGTGTGTGTTGCGGGGGGCGGCGGCGTGGGGGTTCTATTTTGGGGGTGGGGAGAGTCCGATTTCGTGGTCCGTTTTTTTTTTTTTTTTTTTTTTTTTTTTTTTTTCGTAATGTGTGGTTTTTGTTTGGGGATAGGGGTGAGGGTCTGGATTGGTGGGCTGTCCGGTGGTGTGGGTGTTCTCCGGGCGGTCTGGTGTGGTGGTGGTGGGCCGGGGGGCGGTGGGTGGTTCGAGCTGTTGCATGTGTTGATTTTTTATGGGTTTTTGGAGTTTGTTTGCGGGGTGGAGTGAGATAGTGGGGCGATTGCCGGTTTGTGGTTGCCATGGTTGGGGGCGGTGTTTTTTTTTCACCGGAATTTATGACGGGGGGTTTGTGGGTTTGTCGTTTGGGGGTGGTATGAGGGTACGGATAGATGGGTGGTGGCCGGGATTGGGTGGCCGGAATGGGATGGGGTTTTT